CATGTGATGATAATTATGTTTTAAAACTCATTTATCATGCATAAAACATAATATCAACATGTTGTTAATTTTAAAAGACTAATATCATATATAAAGCTTTGACGTAAAAATAATACATAATATTATAGCATGACGTTAGTATTTTTGATAAAACTCTTATTTATTATAAAAGACATGGAGTTTAAATTAGTTTAAACATATTTTAAACCATTTTAAACATTTTATAGTTGGCTATTAAAAGTTTTACAATAAAAAATATTTTTAATAAAAACTCAAATTTAAACGTTTTAAAACGCTTTAATAAAAAAAACTCATTTATAAATATCTTATGTTATATTTTAAATATTTATTTCTCAAACTCCAAGTGATGTTAATTTATGATAAAATTTTGTTTAACATGTAAAAACCATTTTTATGCATAAAACATAACATATAATAATATAAAATTAAATATCACAAGCATGCATAAAAAGTGTATAAATCAAGCCATATATTGGTAGTAATTTTTATGAGCCAACACAAAATTATTAAATAAATCCTAAAAGACTTAAAGGATACTTCAAAAGATTTTCAAGCTCTCACTTGCCAAGACAACTCTTGCTTGCAAAAAGAACTTCAAAGCATCATGTGTTGTAGAGGTCATTACACTTAAACTATTAAGACTACAATTAAATCCAAAATCAAGAATAGAAGCTCAATGTTGGAATTTATAGTCGCAAATGGTTAAAACATAGCAAATCTTCAAGATGATCATTTTTCAACTTGTTAGATTTGGTAAACAAATAATACAACTAATCTAACTAATTTCTTACATGCAAAATAAAAAAATGAAAAAAATACATATTTATCTATCACATCTCATTAATAAATAAATATAAACCAAACACAACATATTGGTCATAATGGCTTGTTTATACACAACAACATCAAATGACATATAAAAACAAATACTTTGTTTTTCTAAGGCAGCTTTATACAACTAAATGCATGAAAAAATTGGTTGTATAAAAATAACAATGTAAAAAACAACAAGTTGTCATAGAAAATATATTTGGTGATTTTTTCCAAAAGAAAAACCAAACTTACTTTCCAAAACCAAAGGTTATAAAACACTTAAATAAATCTTTCTAGCATGTAAAAGAGGCTCTGATACCACTAATGGGTTTTGGGAAGCTAAAAACAATCATTTTTATAAAACAATTTTATACAGCAAACGAAAGACTTTAAAATAACTAATTTATTTTTAAACCATTTAACAAAACCACCATGGGGATCCAATTACACGAACTAGAAAGATTATGACAACCATAGGATGTTAAGAATTCAAAATTTGAAGACTTTGATCCCATTTGGTTTTGGGGAGTTGATAAAGATGGCAAAAACTCAAGATAGAGTTCTTTATAACGTATCTACCAACAAGAGTAAAGCATCATGGAATGCTAATTCCCTTCTTGCATGAAGTACTCCTTAAGCCTTTATGTGCTTAACAAAATTAAGCACTAAATGAAAAGTACTTCTTAGCACCAAATCTTCACTAGCTTCAAAAGACAAGAATAAGATGGAGAGAGGACGAAAGTCATGACTTTCTTAGAAATAAAAGGGAAGAGATTTCAGGCAACCAAATAAGCTAGTTAGGCTTTTCCTTTTATAGTAACATGCAAGTATCCAGTATCATACCCTTCATAAATGAAAGTATGGCTTAAAGGAAAAAGGCATGGGGTGTAAGAGGTTGCTTCACAAGCAATCTCTCTCTTTGAAAGGAAGCACATGGTTGTGACTAGCTCTTAGTCAAAGCATGGGTGTCATGCACTCTTTAATATATACAAGCATGTTCACCTTTTATTTATAAAAACTATTTTTATACGAATTGACTTCAAAGGGTCCAAAAAGAGATACACTACATATAAATCATACATTATGAGTTACTAGTTGTTTTTTCTCTTAAAAATATTATTTCAATAAATAATAATTTCCTAATTAAATACAAGAATTGAATATATTTATTAATAATCATATTAATAATAAATATTCAATATGTGCCAACATGCTAAAGATGTGACCCTATAGGATCATATGTTATTGAAAAAATCATTCTAAAATGATTATTGAGCATATAGATCTAACAGAAAGCCTTGTCAATTTTTGTGGGTAATAGTTGGTTTGTGGTGGTTGTGGGTGGTGGTGGGTAGTGGTGATAGGTGAGTGGTAGTGATGGTAAATGATGGTGGAGGTGACAGGTGGTGGTAAGGGTGGTGGTTATGGTGGGTGGGGGCAGGTCAATGGTGGTGGTGTTGGTGAGTGGGTGACGGCAAGTGGTGGTGGTGGTAGTAGGTGGTAGGTGGTAATTATGGTAGGTGTAGATGATGTTGATTTGTGGTGGTGAGTGGATGTTGGTTGGTTGTGGTAGAGATGGTAGTG